TTCTGCTTGATCAAAAATGCCTACATAATAAAATGGAAATTCTCCTGGGAAATAAAAGCACGCCTATGTCAGATACGTATGAAGCAAATGGAAATTTCTGTCTCTGCGGTTGTGAGGAGCAACGAATGATTTCAGAGGTCGAAACATTCTTATGATATGTAAGAATATGGATACCAGTCTCTCGCTGCGAGTTTGACAAACCGCGAAAATCTTTACAATAGGTACGCTATGGCGTATTTGCGACGCCATATAATGATCCTACACAGCTTTTGGTTTATATATCTTGCAGCGAACAAAATCAAAAACAACTTTACCTTTTGAGATTCGAGGTGCACACGGCGGTAAACGTCAATGTTGGTATTCTGGAAAGTAACGCTGAGGTGAACATGAAATAGTAAGTTCCTAAAAGTGCAGACTGCGTTACTATCCAGAACACCAATATCGAGAGCTATAACTTTCCTTTTGCTGGTTTTTCAACTTCAAAGACTGGGCCTTCAGACAAGTTTCCTCCACATCAAACCTTGATCCCTAGATGTCCCCGTGCTTCTTCTCCCTTAGAGTTTATAAAATAACAATTTGTAACAATTGTTCGTCGTCATTATTTGAAGGTGTTCTTTCTTTATTTCTTTTTCTGCCTGTAACACTATCATTTCCAAAAATAGCTGTCTTCTGGGTGTTAGCGCAATGTAGTCTGGTAGACGTTCACCAACGTTTCAGGGGTCCTTGCTGCCTCCATTGACAGGGCAATGAAACTTCAGTAAACTTCTACCAGACTACACGGCGCTACAACCCAGAAGATAGCCATCTTCATTCTCGTCGCCGTGAGAACCTCAAATTCTCATTTTCCATTCATACTGAAAACGCGTCATTCTTTCACCATTAATATGATTCGCTTTCGATCTCGTAGAACAAAGGCGCGTCACAATACGATGTTTTATTCGGTCCGACTTATAAAAGCTGTGCGGCGTCAAATTCCCCAATTTTAATAAATACGAAGTTTCAGAAAGCCGCCTATTATTTCAATTCTATAAAATGTATAAAATATAAATGTGTATAAATGAAATTCACATTTGTGTGATTTTTTGGGAAAACTAAATCTTAAGTTCGTGTGGAATTAGTACAGGTAGACTTCCCCAGCCATGTTACGGCTCCGGTAAATGTAGCCTCTTTTTGAAGCGCCTTGCGGCACGCATCGAATTTAACATCCCCGGCGAAAGGATACTCAAGCTGCTGATGGTAAAGACGGCACTTCTACTGTTAAAACTATAGATGCAGGCTTATATTTTTCAGTCACTGCCCATATTTCAGAGTCTTTCTTTTTGTAATTTTTTTCTGTAACTTTTCTTCTCGTATTCTTTAAAGGTCTTCGTATTGAAATTTGATCCATTTCCTCCCCATACCAATGTTTTGAAGAGCTAATAAAATTCTACAGCCCAAATAACTGAAGCTATTTACCCGCTCTAAAGCAGTGATTCCTACACTCTATTCCCGCGGTAGACACTTTATTCAGCTTTTGTTTCAAACTGATCTTACCGCAGGCCTATAAGTGTGTTTGCGTGTATTCAAATCTATGATCGTGTATGTGTTCATCCGCACTATGTCTCACTAAGTGCCTCCTGCGAAGAGTCGCCATAGATACGGGACATTTATCATGTGTTGTAATTTGTTTTAATTTATTACCGCCGTGGTCGATACAACATCGTCAGATTTCATAGTGTATGAAAGTCTTGATAATTAATAACCAACTAAACAATCTGGTTAAAGATCGAATTGCAGACGGTTGTATTAATTACTGAATCGCCCTTGAACTTCATGTAGGACTGACACCGCATTTTCTGAACATGAAGACACAGGTTATAATTCCTAAGGGACAGAAGATGTGACATTTAAATAACCGGACGGGCTATGTAAAAGATTGTCATAGACTTCAAAGTACTTGTCTTCACTCTCTATATACGCTAGAAAACTGCCAGTCAAAAGTGACTGGGATATCTAAAGTAGCACTTAAACCATATTTTTAGTGTAAAGTGTAACTAAAACCATTACTTATGTTCGCTTAATGAAACGTTAACACGTAAACATGTTTTTCTGCATTCTAAATAAGTACATGTACATGGCAGGTCATCGATTAGTGAACAGTCTTTTGTTTCAGTTCACTGTTTCCACAAAGCAACATTTACAAATTACAATTAACTAATGTTGTGTAACAAAATAATTAACTTCATTATTATTCTTGCTTAATTGAAGAATATGATACAATTTTACGCACCGCAATCTCAGGGATTCTTATATCGAGATTATAATAAATATTATCTAACGCTGCCCAAAATCCTTTAACAGCGTCAGACCATCAACCAACCAATCAGCACTTATTACACACTACAGATAGATTCCAGAGCCTCTGCCATGCCTGGAAACACGGTCGGGAATCATTTTCCGAACGCCCTTCAAAATACTGTCGTCAAACTGCTCTAAACGTGTTCCTTCAAACAATTAAAAATTGCCGAAATGCTGTATGAGAAGGCTAAGAGTTTTGTATTTTTCTGCACTGCAGTTAACGTTCCAATACATTTCGGTAAACTGCTTTCTTACTTATTTTGTCTCACAGAAACATACTGGTAGTGGATAATTAATTACTTTCGTATCAAAAAAGGCAGATCACCACGATTTTGACCTTTGATTCTGATATTCGCGGACCTGGATACTCAGGACTCATTCAATGGAGACGGCATTTCGTTTCTGCGTTATAAAGGAAAACCGAGATATCACCACAAGCCCACTGTGTATTCCAAAAAAATCTTAGGTTATGAACCGAAACTCCGGTCCACCTTATACTCGCTGACTCGGTTGCTCGTGTATTCTACGCCCCGAGATATTCGTGGGGAAACCAAGGAACATTGAAGGCAGTTGAACATAACAATCAATTAAATTAAATCCCAATCAATTTTGAAGTTAAACAAACAAAATGAATTTAATGTGAAAAATTGATAAAAA